GGGCTGTTGAGATAGAATGAGTATGTTATGTATGTGAGAAGAACATGAATTTCAGGGGACCAGGGATGGAGTGTTAGAGACTGAATATTTGTGTCCCCCCACAAATTTGTATGTTGGGATTCTAACCTCCCATGGGATGGTAGCAGGAGGTGGGGCTTTTGTGTAGTGATTGGGTCAATAGGAGGCGCTCTCATGAATGGGACAGGTATCCTTATAAAAGAGGCCTCTACCTCTCAGTCACGTCCTCCACCACATGAGGACACAGCAAGAAGGCGGCCATCTCTGAAGCAGGAAGCAGACACCACGTCTGCCAGCACCTCGATTTTAGCACTTCCAGCCTCTAGAATGGCGAGAAATAAACGCTTGTTGTTTAGAAGCCACTGAATCTGTGGCAATCTGTTTCAGCAGCCTGGATGAATTAACACATTCCCCATTTTCAGAAAAAACAATGACACCCAGGGCCCAGCGAGTTTAGATGACTTGCCAAGGTGGCACGACGAGGATAAGCAGCACCGGGGTCTGAACACAGGTAACACCTGCGAATAGCATCCATTCCTGCCCCTGGCTACCTGTCACCATCGTCAGGGGCAGACGGGTCCAGGCAAGCGAAGACCAGATGAGGAGAGGATGTGGAGGGCTGAAGGGTGAAGGCTGAGAAGAGATCTTGGAAAGGAATGAGTCATTCCGACGGGGGGCCCCCAAGGAGGACCAGAGTTGGAACAGGGCCTCCGTAGAGAAGTTGGACTCCATCCACGGGGTGGAGGAGGGGCACCCAAGAGCCATTTTGCCACATGGTTTTGTGGCCGTGTCCCTCAGCCACATCCCAGCTGCAGCTGCTCCTCAGCCATAAGCTGACAACTCACACCCATAATTCATTCATAAGCGTTTATTTCCATCTAAATCAGCAAATGAATACATCTCTTGGTGGCGTGCATGAGCCTTATGGGGCAGTGATCCGCTTCTCAGGCTGGCGCAGGAAGGTTGGCCACGGAAGTCTGATGGCCCCATTTGGGGGAATTAAGTGGCCCGAGCAGTTGCTTCATGACCATTTCCAAGGTGGGACGTCAGCATCATTGCCTGCAGTGTATGGATCAGGTTGGTTCCAGTCTGCTTCTTTCAGCTTGGAAGAAAGACTGGGCCTCCCTGGGGGGCGCATGTATGGGGACACTCACATGGAGGGTGACAGTGATGACAGGCATAACGAGAATCACAGCAGCAGCTGACAGTGCACACATTCTGTGTTCCAGGGGCTGTGCCTAAGTGTTGCAGAAAAATCCCACCATCTCTTAGGATTACATCCTAAAGTCAGCATGTGACAGGCAAAAACTTGTGTCTAGCCCTGGTTCCCCTGATGGTCCCTTAAATTGTCCATAAAGTTCAGGGCATGTGGCATTTAGGTTCCCGAACCGGGCAGTATGGATAAATATGAACAATGTGCTTGTGTCCGAATGTATTAGCAGCCACCCTCCCACACCCCTCTGTCTGGGACCCTGAAAGCAGGGGTGCATAGTGGCCCAACTGAAAACATTGTGCTCACTCATCCTCTCTTCTCCATTGCTCTCTTCCTGACAAGCACGATCTTTGAACTCCTGAGTTAAATGCTCACTTAAACCACCTGCACTCCTTCTCAGTTCATGCTTATAGCACCCACTTGCCCCCCCAACCCCACTCCCCCCACAGAAGCTATACTGTTACTGCTTCAGTGGAAGATACAGCAGCTCGGGGAAGGTCAGGCCTGTGTACAGTTGTACAGGTAGCAGACTGTGGACCCAGACCCCAGACCCCAACCCAGACAGATTCCAGGGCCTGCAGGGCTGCTGCCCTGGAAGTCAGGAGAACTCTTCCCACTGCATCCCTACTGCAACCCCCTCCTTGGGTCCCTTCAGCTGGTTGCACTTGAATTTCAGAACAACTAATGATCCAGCTATTACGAGTGTGGGCCTCACTTTTAAAAATAAATGTTTCAACCAGTCCAGCCCTGCAATTTAATAGGCAATATTGTATGCATATTAAACACCAAATGATTGTTAACATATTTATTGAAGCATAACAGGCATCGGGCATATAAAAGATGACTCTCTTATATGGCTGTCAGACCTCAATAAACATGTTTAATAATTAATTGGCGTTAAGCAAACATAATTGTGTGATTCTAAATTAGGTGTTCAGTGAAGCATTCTGTGCATGGAAAACCACAGCAGTGTTTTATTACTTCAAGATCAGGCTGTCAGTCTGGCTTTTCACATATCAGGCGAAGTGCCCCCCGTTCCACGCCGTGTCAAAGGCCTCCTGTAGCCTCACTCCAAAAAAGGCATGAGCCCTCTCCTTCCTAGACCCTTTGATCTGAGAAACGTTTCTCATTTGGTTAGCTGTTTGTCTATCTGCATATCCACTTGGGTTCTGAAAGTTCTGAGCCAAGAAATTGTCTGATGCAGAAGATGTTTTCACATCCCAGTCATTGGTTGAATTAACCAGTTCTGCCATAAACACCATCTCCCCCAGTACAGGTGATTCACATCATTCGAGATAGCTCTGCTCTCTAAATTCTCTGCAAACAACAAATTAGCAAATACCGAAGATTGCTCCTAGAGGAAATGTAAGACTAGGTTCCTCTGAGCCTCTGGTCAGAACTTTTTTTTTTTTTTTAATCAGTTCATAGAGTACTTTGAACTCAAGGCCCATAGCGCTGTAAGTCACACCTGACGCGAATTCTCCGTCAGGCACCTCACGACCTAGAACACAAGACATTGCTTCAGCACTGTGCATTTTAAACAGCAGAACACCAACAAAAAGAACAAAAGCATGAACAAACAGGACAATGACCAGACCACGAAAGGGGCATCTGTTTGCAGTACGAGGACTGAAACAAGAAGGTAGACCATTGCTTTGTTCTACCTCAGCTGGAAACGCTCCTATGAGAGGAGTCACATTCTTTGCAACTCTGTTCATAGCTGCACATGTCTGGCCATGATGCAAAAACACCATGAATGTTGATTTTGAGATTGCAAATAGATGTGCAGGTAGGTAAATTCACACCTGCAGGATCCTTGAGTTATGAGGATCAGCTGTAATCAGGTTCCATGGAGCACAGCTGTCTACATCCCTAAGTATCCTATGTCCTCTGCTGGCCTTTTGCACGAGCTGCCCAGAGAATTGTCTGCTCAGTATCAGTGCTGCTTTAGCACATAGTAGGTGCACAATAAATATTGGTCACATTCAATCGAGTGGTTTTCAGTAAAGGACCCAAAGTAGTTGTCGTTTGAAAGTAGATGCTCGTTGCTTCTGTTTACGCCATTGTTTTCCTTGGTGACTGCTGGTATTTATTGTCTCGATCTAGTTAATATAAAACCTTGGCTTTTAACTTTCTTTCACCTGCCCCTAAATCCTTTAGAGACTTGAAGATCCATTTTCTTTGCTGCCACGAACCCCTTAAGAATCATGCTAGGTGAGGAAAAGCATACCCCAAGCGGACTTTGCTGGCTGGGTCATAAAAATCTGTCTCCAGGTTGTCCGTCTACGAAGCCCATCCACACACACCCTACAGGGAAGTGGGGAGTCAGGATTACAACCTTTTCAGAAGAAGCATCAGGAAGCAGGGCCATAACTTGAAAAAGTCAGTCTCATGGCCACACTGTTGGCACTGACCTAGACACTTAAGGACAGTTCTGGCCCCATCAGATCTTCCGGGGATCACTGTTTCCATTATGACCCTACCCGAAGGTTTGGAATTGCACATGGAGCTAGGCGCCAGAGTCTGGAGCAACTCTAGGTCTGCAGGGATCCTTTGGAAAATTACATTTTGGAGCCTGGAATTTTATCTGTAGGCATTTAAAAACCTATAAATGAAAGTCTGTTATGAAAGTCGTGTGTGCTTATTTGACAAGTTAGAACATAGAGTACAGAACAGAGAACATACATATCTCACTATCATCAAAACACACACATTTAAAAATTTGGGTGTAGACAGGGGCACCTGGGTGGCTCAGTGGGTTAAAGCCTCTGCCTTGGCTCAGGTCATGATCCCAGAGTCTTGGGATCGAGCCCCGCATCGGGCTCTCTGCTCAGCAGGGAGCCTGCTTCCCCCTCTCTCTCTGCCTGCCTCTCTGCCTACTTGTGATCTCTGTCCATCAAATAAGTAAACAAAATCTTTTTTAAAAAATTAGGGTGTATTGGGTCACTTTTTCTTTTGTGCACAAGTTCTTTGTATGACTTCAATTTTACTGCAAATGAAAGTTAGTCTTCTGCTTTTTGTTCCCCGTTTAGCATGCTATCATAAGCATGTTCTGTGTTATTACACAGTTCATCACCCTTATTTCCAACAGCTGCAAACTAGCCCATTGATTGGTTGCACTACATTTTGCTAGCCATCCCATGCTCATTAGATGTTTGTTCTCGTTCTTTAGCTCTTTCTGAAAATGAGAGTACAATCCACCTTTTCTTTTTTCCTAAAGCTGCTGCATGTCTGGGATTGCTATTAGCCCAGGTTGTCAGAAACAAGGTTACTGGATCATTGGTTGGGACATTTTTAAGGCCCTTGATGACATAGCCTCATTGCTAAGATGTGGGAACAACAGGCCTATCTTACTAGATGCTTCCAAAAATTGTGTTATCATTTTGTTGTCTTTGCTGACTATAGAAGAGACCCAGAGTTTTTTCTTTACTGTGCCAGACCTGCAAAGGACCTCCACCTTCAAACGCCCAGGCCAGTGTTCCCATTAGACTTACACTGTGTGTGCATGGATATAGGGGTATATGCATGTGTGTGCAAACTACAATGTATATTTAACTTATTCTTTAATTCATGATATTGGCAAGACATTTCTTTGTCTCATGCCTTTCCTTAGTATTTCTTGAAAAGTCATACCTTCCAAAACTTTTTGCTGAATATGCTCAGGTTTTGGTTTGGATCTATTCATTTTAACACACACACACACAGACGTTTTCTCTCTCTCTCTCTCTCTCTCTCTCTCTCTTCCTTTTCCTACTAATGGGAAATACAGCTTTTGAGGATGACAATTGCCAAACAGAGGCTCGGAGATGAAGAAATTGGCATGCGGCATTTTGCAGCCCATGAGCGTGAAGACTTGGTTCAGCAGCTGGAAAGAGCTAAGGAACAGGTTATTGCTAACATCTGTTAAGAGTGGGGGATATGTTTGTACCTTTGGACTGTGTCCCGTTTCTCAGAGAAGGCAAGGTACCTGGGATGCCAGCCGGAGGCGCAAGGAGGGTGTGAGTTGAATGCTTTGACGTTCTCCCTGCTCTGTAAGTTCCTGATCTGCCTCTTGTGGTCCTTGCTTCCGGAAGGTCTGTTCCCCTAGTTTGGGGTGCCATTGCTCTGAACACAAGAAACATCTTCCCTTTCCCCCATTCAGGATAGACAGGAAAGGAACAAGACATGACAAATGGGCCTTAATTTGCAAATTTCCCCAAGTGTTGAGTGATGCTTTTTAGACAAAATCTCAACGGGTACAGAGCCCTAGTTAGGGGACAGGAAAGAGAGCCTAGACTTCATTTCCCTCCTCTCGCAGGTGGGATGAATACGCCCTGTCAGAGTTGGTCAGCAAAGCAGAAGCCTCCATCTCTGGCCCTAAAATGATGTCTGAAGAACATCTTAAGTAAGGACACTTCCTTGGTTTCAGATAGAGTCTCTGGAGCATGACCTGCAGGCCTCTGTGGACGAGCTTCAGGACGTTAAAGAAGAACGGTCTTCCTACCAGGACAAAGTGGAGAGGCTCAACCAGGAGCTAAACCACATCCTGGGTGGGCACGAGAACCGCATCATTGACGTGGATGCCCTCTGTATGGAGAACAGGCAAGTGGCCGGGCCCAGGCAGGCACTCAGGCAGGACACTGGCCGTGCAGTCTGGGCAGCCCAAGTTACAGCTGCCTTGCAATGACAGGAAAGTCCCACCGCCAACATGGTGATAGTAATGCCACGTATTAGCTTCGAAAGTCAGAAAGGCACCACACCCCTATACACTTGCCTCCCCAACCCCTGTCTCCTTCCCCCGCCCCTCCCCGCCTCCCAGCTGGGCAAGAAGGGTAGGGAGCCGGTGAAAGCTGCTTGGTATTGATATCAAGGAGAGGGGAAAGAATAAGAAAATAAATTGAGAAATTCCCTTAGCTGTTTCTTTTCCCCGAGGCAAATTTCAGAGTGTGTGTGTGCGCGCGCGTGTGTGCGTGTGTCAATTTTAATGTTATGTCTGGTGTCGCTTCTTCCTGCCTGCCTCCCCAGTGGAATCATCTTAATGAGAATTATGTGAAAACTATGTTGATATCCCTTAGAGGTTCTCTGCAGAAGGCTGTTCTAAAGTGGGGTTTCTGTGATTTGGGCATATTTGGCCTTGATTACATCCATTTAAGAAGAGGTCACCAAGATGCACTTTTCTTCTCCTCTTTTGGTGGTGAGAAGGCATTGTGTGTACACAATAGCTCTGGAGGCGGGTTGTTTTCTTTTTTTCTTCTCCTACTTGCCTATATGTTTTTTATTTTGTGCCCAGACACTTCCTAGTTACATGTTTTCTCTCCTAGGTACCTTCAAGAGCGATTAAAGCAACTCCACGAAGAGGTCAACCTCTTGAAATCAAACATCGCCAAGTATAAGGTAGAGAATTGTGATGATGCTGTTAATGACTCATGATTGTACATCTAAATGCCATTCTGTGTTAATTCCCTTTTATGTGCCAAAGACATGTGAGTGCTCGCCTGCCCTCCCAGATAAAGTTAGAGCTTTCACTGAGGTAACCAGGAAGAATGAAGCACAAAACAACAAACACAACAAAAATAGCTTTTGCAAGAGCATTTTCGTTGCTGTCACCTAGACAGGGCGCATGGAGCCTGCCCAGATCTGGACGTGGCCACTTCACTGCCTCGGTCCGCATAGAATTAGGTTTGTTATCAGCGCCTCTAGAAAATATTCCATCATCAGACACTGCTTGTCTCATAATCATCCATAAGAAAATGGTTTCTGAGCGACAAGAAGAAACCAAGATTGGGGAATCACAATCTGAGCGAGAACGTTCACGTCACACTGAAAGGACAGAATGTTTAAATTCTCCCACTGTTGTTTAGACTCATCCCAGCTCCATTAGTCTGATAATATCTATTTCTGCAGATGTTCGTTGTGAGCGTTATAATTAGAAACATCTCCTGGGTTTCTCTGCTTTGAAAATAGATTGATTTCTCTTCCTGAGGGTAGAGTTTTATAGCAGTCTAGATGCTTGGGAGAACCGTCTCGTTTTCCTGGCTTCTGACGTTAGCTTTTCTTCCCTGAAGTCTCTATGCTGTTCTCCCTTTTCCATGCTGTTGGGGGCCACACTTTACACCAGTCTATATATACACACACACAGCCAAAGAAGAATGCAGCTTTTAAAGTTGTATAATTAATACATACATTTAAAAAATGTGTGTATGCATTCATTTAACAGCCTTTATTTGGTTCTTCAATGTGCCAAGCACTGCTACACAGCGCATATCAATTGTAGTGTAAGGGTCTGTGACAGGAATGGCACTTTGGTCAGCACCTGTGTGCCTCCTTATCTTGTGTCCGTGGCAGACGTCATTCATTATTTGTGGCTTTTTCCAGTCCAGCCCGGAAGTCTTCCAAAGACCAACAGTGATCTTTTGGCATCGGCAGATAAAAGTAAACCTGTTCTCCGTCTCATGTCTATTCAGAAGGGGTTTCCATAACTAGTGACTTCACACATTAGACGGAGCACTTGCTTTCGGATTTGACTTAATTTAATGAATACGCATTGAGTGCCTTTTATATATAGGAGAAGGTAATTGCTGTCATTCTGCTGGGCACCAACTTTAAAAAACAAAACAAAACAAAACAAAACTCTCTACCAGGTCCATAAATTTCATACCTCTTTGGCAGGGCCTCGGAATTTTAAAAGTTGGTTCAGCATTTGGGGTTTGCCAAGGGGTCTTGTGTGTCTGATGGGAGCATGCATCTACTCTAAGTAGGTATTTTTCTTTTGCTTTCTTTTTTTTTTTTTTTTTTTTTGGCTTTTTTGATAGAGATTTGTATTCTCTCCCAATGCTGCTTTAGAACGCTCTCGAAAGACGGAAAAACTCGAAAGGCCAGAGTAAATCCAGCAGCAGTGCACTGACTGGAGTCCTATCTGCAAAGCAAGGTAGGGTTTGTTCTCTGGAGGGATCTCAGAACAACAGAATGCCAGAGCTCGGGGTCCGCGTCTCTGTTTGTGGTGGGGGAACCAAGGTGGTTCTTAGAACAGCCCTTCCCAAACCTCCATCTGCATCAGCATTGGCTGGAGGCCTTGTTTGAAAACACAGATTACTGCCCCCAACCCTGTCCCAACACACACACAGAGTTTTTGACTTTAGGTACAGTGAGGCGCCAGAGAATGCACATTTCTAGAAAGTTCCCAGGTGTTGCTGATGCCGGTTCTGGGATCTTGCTTTGAGAACCACTGCATTAGACGTTTTTCTAATAACAGACCCCCTTCACATCTGGTCCTCTAGCCTGTGCTCTTCCTTCAAGAACACTTTCCCTCCTTCGATCACCGGTTTAACATCCATGAGTCCATGTTCCAACCTTGCCAAGTTTCTCCTTTTTCTGGCCTCTGTGACCAGAATAGAAAAGTCTCACAGCCGCTGAAATCATTTTATCACGGAACATGTGCCTTTTTCAAAGAAGCTTTTATTGATTGCAATTCTGTTCCTCCTTCTTGTCGATTCTGATGAAAAATAATGATCTTCCAGGAACAGTCCAGGGGAATAAATAGCAGAGAGCTTGCTTCTGACACTTAATATTTGGGAACTCAGTTCTCAGCGTAAGCCTCAGGTTGAACATGGGCGACTGGCCCAGTTTTGGGTTGTCGGCCACACAGACCAGCAACGATCATGCAGGAGTCTTAATCAAAGCTGGAGTGGCTAGGGGAAAAAAAAAATGCTGAATCTTCAGCTGACCTAATAACCAAAGCACTTTTCTAAGCAACTTCTGTTTTTCCACTCAACTAAAAAAAAGACACCCTAGAATTGTTTTTAAACGGAAACCTCAATACTCCCCAGAAATGTGAAGTAGCCATGTGAGTTCAGCTCTGGATACCCTGGACAGCCAAACATCTTTGAATGGTGAGACCCAGTCCCATCACTGATGTGGGGAATGCCAGCCACATTCAAACACCACGCCCTAAGCCTGCCAGAGCCTTTCTGGATAACCCTCTGGCAACTTATTTTGACAAAGCTTGAACTCATCCCCTTTGAGCAGCAAGAAATAATTACCAACGTCTGAAAACATACTGCTTGAGGCAAGTTCTTCCTCCATTAGTTATGAGGGAAAAAAAACATAGAAAGTAACATAAATGTCCAGCAGGAATTAAATAAATTATATCTACACATGGGCTCCCAAGCTGCCTTTACATTTTATGTTTTAGGAGATATTGATGATGAGGAGTTGGGTTAACTGAAAAAAAGAAAAGCTTTTTCTCATTTCAGAAGAAAAATGTATGAATCTGTGTATCTATGTATAGGCATATAGAAAAGGATGTTCAGAGATGTAGTGAGAGATTTATTTTTTTCTGTCTGATAGGAGCACAGGCTGTGTCTTTTTTATGGTAACTCATGGTTTCTAAAAAGATGCAGACACAAAATATATTTTGTATTTTAAATAATGCCCCATAGGATCTTGCCGCCCACCGAACATAGCACGCTGTAGGAAACTCTGCCACAAAGCAAGGAGCTCGGGACCAGGGTCATTGCCATTTGCATGGCTGTGTGACCTCCAGCTGATGTTTTTAATCCATCAGCACCTTGCTTTCCTGTCCATAAAATAGGGATAAATAATACTTCCCAGGTGGGTTTTATTTTATCTTTTTTTTTTTTTTTTTTTTTTTTAATTTTGGGCCTCAATGAGTTAGTATAAAGCATTTTGAAAGGGTGAGATGCTGGACAAATGCAAAAGATTATTATCCCTTTAAGAAATGGGTGATAAAAGTCCATGAGAACTTCCTTGTTTCTGTTCAACCCTCACACTAAATTTTATTTTGTTTTAAAAATAAAAACACCTGAAGTGGATTCTTCAGTACTTCATCATACCATTTAGAAGCCGGGAGCTTAACCCAGCTTCATTATCCAGGAAGATCAGACATAGGTTTACATTGCAGTGTTCCAGAAGGACTTAAGACTCAGCTGTAAACTTTGTATCCCACCCAGTTCAGGATTTGTTATCCGAAGATCATGGGTGCAGTCTCCCAGCCACTCCACAGTCCATTTCTGATCTGAAATCTCTGGCAACAGCCCTGCTAGAGACAATCCACGAGAAAAACATGGTCATCCAGCACCAGAGACAGACCAACAAGTAGGTGACTGGACCCTTGGGTGGGGGTGGGTGGGAGAGATGTGGGATGGCCACCAGTGGGGGGTTGCAGCCAGGTGGGATGGCAGACCTTTGGGGGAGGGGAGGGGAGCACTTAAGTCTGGAAGGTCCCCTCCTAAACTAGAATGTTGTGTCCACATTGTGACAGCATCTCAGCCATCTGCCAGAGTGGGGGAGGGGGAGAATACTACCAGCCATTACAGACTGAACACTTAGTCGGAGCCACTCACTGAAGAATGCAGACGACATGGGCAGTACGATTGCCCGGGTGACTCACCCTACCTCTCCTGCGGGTCTCCTTCAGGGAGGGCGCCTCCTCGGTGCCATCGTAACTTATAGCGTGACACTGGGGGGTTCGGACCAGCAGGAAGGCCAAGCATCAACTTTCATAGGCAACTGGGCCTAGAAGGGAGTGTCATGTCACTCTTCCAGAGAAGCAGAGAAAGTGGTGGGACAGAGCAATTAAAATAGAGTGTCTTCCCTGATTCTTTTTTTTTTTATAAAGATTTATTTATTTATTTATTTGACAGACAGAGATCACAAGTAGGCAGAGAGGCAGGCAGAGAGGCAGCCAGAGAGAGAGGAGGAAGCAGTCTCCCCGCTGAGCAGAGAGCCCAATGCGGGGCTCCATCCCAGGACCTTGGGATCATGACCTGAGCTGAAGGCAGAGGCTTTAACCCACTGAGCCACCCAGGTGCCCCTTCCCTGATTCTTATAAACATATCGACTCAAGTTAGTAGCCATTAGAGACACACGCAAATTGGAGGTGTTCAAAGAATGGTGAACAACAATAAGTTAAAGCAACAGACACTGTGAACAGGGCTGGCTCTGAGGACAAGCGACCATGCTCGGAAGGGCCCTGCCCTTGGTTCGGAACTCCATGGTTGCCATCTTGAGGTTCTTAATCATTCTTGAACAAGGAGGCCTGCCTTTCCATTTTGCGGTGGGCCCCAGAATTATGTAGCTGGTCCTGCTTATGAAACCTACACATAGCCCCAAAATGAAGCTGTGCAAGAAGTGAGCAGGCTCTGAAACGCTGGGGCTTCCAGCAAGGATGGGAGGGGTGAGGGAAGCGGGGTCCTGGCGAGGGGGAGGGGCACGGGGAAAGAGGCAACTGGAACATGATTGAGAGTATTGTAAAAACAAAATAGAAAAAAAGAGAAGCTGGGAGTGAAGGGAAGATTGCGCAGGAGATTAAGATATATATAAAAGAAGGCAGGGAGCAGTGGAGGGAGTCTGGGCAATCTTAGAGGGATGACAAGGGTAATTTATTGACAGAAGAAGTTTTTAAAATTCTTTTAAAAGAAATCTTAACCAAGGAATGAGACAGTCAGGTGCTAAAATGCAGAGACATCTCAGGGGAGGGAGAAGAAATGGAAATCTCCCCAGAATAGGTACGAGGTCTATTTTATCCAGACAGAATCCCCTGCAGCCGATAGTGTTCTGCATGAGCCTTCTTTGTCCTCACTGACTCCCTATAAAGCACCCACTGGGGCTCTTTCAAACCTTCTCAGGTCTTCTAAACCCTAGTCTGTTCTCAGCAGGTAACCTCAGCTGCTCTTTTATGGAAAAAAATAGATGCGCCTTCCCAGGAACCCCAAGACTTACCCTCCCCTGGAACCAGTGCCTTCCACCTTCTCCCTCCTGGCTCTGGGAAACACACCCACCCACCATCCTGTTGGTCCACACCATCTTCCCTCCTCTGGGCTTGGCGCCCCTGTGAGCAACTCATCCCACCTAGTCCACTCCTGCCCCCAACCCCTGGCTTCTGCCTCTTCACCCAGACACCACACAGAGCTCCCTGAACCTCCATAGTCTTTCCCCAGCACGGCAGCTCCCCCTGAATTCCACTCACCCAGCATCTTTGTGAACAAGAAGGCTGCCTTTACTTCTTCAATAGCACCCCCTCAAACTGTGCTCCTGAGAGCACCCATGTCAGAATTACTCAGAGGCACTGGTTCTGAAATGCAGATTCTGAGGGGTTTTCTAGAGGGAACATCAGGTTTCTGGATCTGAGCCAGCCCCAGGAAAGAAAGACCACCTCGGCTTCAATACCTCCTGAGACCTCTTTCCAGATGTTCCATAGCCATCTCCCTTTGAGGGTCTCCAGTACCCCCAAACCCCACTTTCTGAGTGTTTCTTTTCTGATTTCTCTGCATCCCAATTTGCATCTTGCACTTACCTCCTTGGATTCCTCTTTCTCCTCATCCCCTCGATTCCCTCCATGCCCCTTGTTTCAACCCCAGGTCTCCACCAGGCCTTCTGATCTCCTTACCCCACCTGGGGGCTTCATCTCCCCCACCCCCTGCATGACTGCTTCACACTTTCTGCAGGCACTTCTCAGAACTCTTGTACCCACCTCACCACCCAGAGCAGTACCCACATTTCCCACGATAGGTTGTCATTTTGCCCCATATCCCTTCAGCTCTTCGCGTTCAAGGAATCTAGACTCTGGGCCACCCACTCCTTAGTACGTTTTAAGACCCTTGAAAATGCTTGCACCCTTTGACCCACGTGGTCTGCATCTAGGAATTTATCCTAAAGAAAAAAATCAGCATGAATGTCCTCAGGTTCACATAAATGGATTCATTTATAACAGCGGAGAAAACAGAAACAACCCAAATGTTTTTATTTATATTTTATTTTATTTTGAGAGGGAGAGAGTGCGCGAGTACAGACGGAAAGGATCGCAAGCAGACTCCATGCTGAGCACAGAGCCTGACGCAGGCCTTGATTTCACCAATCTGAGATCATGACGTGCGCGGAATACGAGAGTCAGATGCTTAACCATCTAATCCACCCAGGCGCCCCCTGCCGATGTTTTTAAGTTGGAGACTGGTTAACATTATAGTAACTCCAGGCATCCCTGGCTGGCTCAGTCGTTAAGGGTCTGCCTTCAGCTCATGTCATGATCTCAGCCTAGCGACAGGCTCCCTGCTCAGAGGGGAGTCTGCTTTTCCCTCTTCTGCTCCTCCCCGTTTGTGTCTCCTCTCTCGTGCGCGCTGTGTGTCAAATAAATAAATAAAATCTTAAAAAAAAAGATTATAGTAAATCCATAAGATAGACTATTATGCAGCCATTTAAAGCATGATTTGAAGAATATTTAATGGGCTCTGCCCACCTTCCTGATACAATCAACAGACCTCCCCATTATGCAGGTTGAAGCTGTCCCATTAGAAGAGAATCGCTGTTCCCTCCCAGTAGGGAGGACAGTGCTGGGCCCACTGTATGTCCTTATACTTATTTAATGAATGGATGATGGAATCATCTTTTAATCCTTTTTCTTGTTCCCTTGATATTCTTTACGGTTTTCCTGGACTCTGTATATATGTTAGATCCTTGTCCTAGGCCTTCAGTCTACATGTTCTCCCTGCCCCCTCAGCTTTGGTGCCACCCCACTATCACCTCTCCCTTGGGAAGACCCTCCCATTGATCCTCCAACCGCAGACCCCAGACCCTCCTCCACAGCCAAGCTCCTCCCTCTCTCAACTCCACGCCCCCAGCTACAGTTCTGATGACGTCACAAGCCCCCACTAAAAAGCTGGACTTTTCGTGTTTGTTTCAAGTTTTTATTTAAATTCTAGTTAATTAACATATAGTGTAAAATGGGTTTCAGGAAAAAGCAGAACTGTTAAAGCTAAATCCTTCTGCCTGCTGAACTCAGGAACCCCAGACTGTCAACCTGACGCTCCCGCCTCTCAGGACACATTGATTTCCTAGCACCTGCCCTGTCTTAACCCTACCGTGACCAGCCCGCCCCAGGCTCCATGGGCGCGTATCCTCTGTTGAGAAACAGGCTTGCTCATTTTGACAGATTTAATTTTGTTTTTTGTTTGTTTTTGTTTTTGTTTTCAGATTTAATTTTGTTTTAATGTACCTTGTTATTTGTAACTATTATTCAATAATTCTGTACCATCTCATGGTTCAAATTTTAAAGGTTAAACAACAATGTATCCCTAAACTACCACCATCTCTCAGCCCCCAATTCCCCTTCCTGGAAGGAACCACACTATTCCTTATTTCTTATGTATCCCTTTCCAAGGATGCATATGGAAATAAACATATAACACATTTCCACAGACACATATAAATACTCATATATACTTGTATAAATATAGTCTTTTCTCTCTTCCTTCCTTCCTTTCTTTCTTCTTTTCTTTCTTTCTTCTTACAAATTGCAGCTAGTATTCACCAAAAAGGTGTTTTTTTTCCACTGTTCTTCACCTTGCTCCCCCCCCCATAACAATAGATCTTAAAGATTGCTTCCTATCCATACATAAAGTACCTAATGTGCCATCTTTAAAACTTAGAAGGTCTTCGGTTTCATACTTTCAGTAAATGTTTTATTTGGGGGCATGTAAAAAAAACTATACAACAGAGTGGGGGCTAGGAATAAAATCTGAATTTGGTCTGCTTGCTGTGATCCCCCTTTTGTAACTAAAATAATATAATAGTTTTGTGTTGGTGGAGCATTCTAGGTGAGAATAAAGGTATTCTGTTTCTGTAAGCCTGTGCTCCCCCTACTGGCTTTCCACCGCCTGTCACTCAACCCGCCTTGAGAAGGCCCAATGGGAGCCATCTTGAAGAACGAATGGTTCCACACAGGACTTTATTTTTTTAGAGGATTTTCAATTAATGGGCATTTTGCTTGAGGTACTCATTGCCAAAGAGTTGGCAATTGTCTGACTATTGCTAAAGAAGGAATGAGCATCCTGTGACTTATCAACAGGTAGCAAAGCAGTAACAGAAGAGGCAGATGTTTAAATCATGTTTTACCGAACACCCCGTTTAGTTTTCCAGTCAATACTTTGCTGGTGGTAGGGTGCCGGTGCTGGTGATGGTGGTGGGTACATGAAGATAGTGACCTTTCACTGCCCTTCCTGCAATCCTAATACTGTTTATTGCTCTCCCCCACTCTGGCCAAGGGTAAATGGCTCGGAAGTTCAAGACACTGAGAGCAGCATGAGCTGTCATGGATCAGAGCAGAGAGTCAAAAGAAGGCCACATAGGGTTGGAAGGGAGGACAGGGTAGAGCCACAGTCACGTCTTGAGGACTGGGCGGGCTCTCCCCAAGGACCCTCAGGGATTTCTGCTCCCGTGTTGTCTGGGGAACAGGAACAGACACACAGTGATGGCCAGCTCCCGAGTTGGTTCTGTCTTTGCCAATCCCCTATCACGTTGTTACTATCAGAAACTACTACTGAAAATCTGTCTGGAGGCCTGACATCCTGAGGATTTTCCTAGACTGCTAGGTAGACATATGCTGAAATCCCTCCTAAAACAAACCATAGCTAAATAAAAAACCTTATTTTAAAATCTCTCCCCTCCTACAAAAAGAAAAAGAATCCTCTCTCAAACCTGTTTATGCCTCAAGCTACTGCCCTAGCTGTCTCTTTCGATTCCGTGCTAAACTACTTGAAGAGTCATCTGTATTCCCAGACTTGGTTGCCCCAAGTCTGCTTCTCCCAACCCTGTCACTTGGATTCTGGGTTTCACCCCCATCCACTGTCCTGAAACATCTCTCTCAAGGGTCAGGCACATCTACTAGGTAGACTTTTTCATCTAATGTGACCACTTTCCAGAATAAAACAGTATTGACATCCCACCTGGGTCTCTCACACCCCTTGGCTTCCTGGCCCCATGTGGCCTGGCTCTCCTCTTCCCTGTCCAGCTATGCCTTTCTAGTTCTTTCTTGCCTTAGACAGGAATACTCTAGGGTCAGGTTCTTCTGTCTTCTCACCCTCTGCTGGTGAGCAGATCTACTCCCCAGCCTCCATGCCCATCTCTGCGTTCCCAGACTTTTCTTCTATCACGTGATGGGCTGTCTCCATGGATATCCCATAGGCACCTCAAATTCTTCACCTACCTTGGTATTGTTACTCCATTCAGCTGACTTCCCACATCGCCCCCTGGGCTTGTTGGAGGCCACCACTATCACTGACTTGGACATCACCCTTCTAACTGGTCTTCCTGCTTCTACTCATACTGATACCAGTTCGTTCTCCACTCTGCCTCAAGAATACTTTCCCTAAACATCATCTTGCTGCACCGCTGCTTCAGACCTTCCAATATCTCACTTTTGTTGCCGACATAGAAAAGTCTCACCCTTCTCAATACGGCAACAAGTTCATTCATGATCTGGGTCCTTCAGAACCACTCTGGATTCAGCCCTCATTTACTTCACTTCCACTCTGTGGTTCACTTCCACTCTGAAGTACTTGCATGCTTTCAGGCCCACGTTTTGATTCCAGACCCTCCACTTAGCAGCTGCGTCACCCTGGGCAAGTTAGTTGACCTTTCTGAATCTCTGTTCCCTCATCCACAAATGAAGCATATTAAAAGCTCCCTCTTCAGTTGTTGCAAGGGGTAAGGGAGATACTGTCTGTGTGGTGCTTAGAGTAATGCCTGCTAGAGAACAGGTGATTGGGAGATATTATTCAAACCTTTGACAGGCTCTGTACGTGTGTGTGTGTGTGTGTGTGTGTGTGTGTGTGTGTGTGTGTATCCACATCTGTTTCCCACCAGACTTTTAGTCCCTCAGATACTCAAATACAGGAATACAGGCTGCTTCTCTTCATTATCCCCTACAGCCAACAATTGTGTGCTGAATTGGTCCAACTGAATTCAGTGGACCCTGTTCTTGTGTTTACTGCCTCCCTCGATGCCTGCTGCCCTCTCTCGCTGGGCTGCACCACCCCACATTCCGTGGACCACCGGCCGTATTTGTTCAGCATGAAACCCATCGGGAAGAGTCTTTTTATCCTTTGAGGACTCTTGGGCCAGCTGTGATACAAGCCAGCCCAGCTGCATCTACATTTCAATTATGAACAGTTTTTAAAGAGGTCTTGCTCCAGACACAAGCATGCTTGTTTTACAGGACCACTGTGAGGTGTTAATTAAGACATGTATTGTGGCAACAAACGGAGTTGCAGGTTCAAATCCTGAGTCCTGCTTGTGACTCTGGTCAAATTAACTAATTTCCGTGCCTCTGTTTCCCAATGGGAGGAGTCGAGTGAGGTGGATGAGTGCACTGGGGGTTGGCAACAGACACAGCTTGGAGATAAACTGTATACCCTTGGGCAGGTTGCTTAACCTCTGTGTTCCTTATGGTCCACATCTGTGAAAGGGTAATAATACAACGTACACCACAGGGTTTTTGTCAGGTCAGATGAGATCATGTATGCTCAGTAGCTGCTCAGCATGGGCTCTGACTCAGAGCCAGGACTCAAGAAAGATTAGTTTCGCTGTTCACGGTAACAGTGGTGTGGTTGCTAGTGTTCTGGATAGTGTTATTGCTACTATCACTACTAGCACAATTCCCATTGGGTCCATTTTACTACCTCCTGCTCTGTCTCAGATGCTTGTGTCAGGCCAAAGAGAACAGGCACTGCTGACAAACAGGCAGGGTCCCTCAAAGGAGGGGGAACCAGCAAATTCACCTCAGTCCATTTCTGGGAGACAGAGCTCTGTTATCCGGGGACATCAGGGGGAAAAAAAACAGCAACCAAATGTCTCTTTACCACGCCTTCGAAGGTTGCTCTGATGGCATCCTTCAGCACACACAGAAGAGTTAAGCCTTATCTTTTGTTTCCAAGAGGCCTCGCTCACAGGTGATCTGATCTCGTTAAGAAACAGGCATCAACTTGAACTCTGCTGTGATTGCATCTCAAACCCGTCAGCTGGTGAAAAGGGAGCTCGGATCAGAAGGTCTGAGCAAAATATTGAAAGTGAGATTACGAAGAATGGTTTTTATTGAAGGGTCAGGGACATGAAAGCAGAATAGACCCAACAAATAAGGTGAAAATTGAAAGTAATTGATAAAGACTAAGCAGAATTTAAGACTTAAGGAAAAGAAGAAAAGCTTCAAGTACCTAGGTGAAGAAAACCACAGATGGTAACATCAGAGTTTTCTGGGAGCTCAAAGGGAATATTAATTAAGATACTGCGAGTCAATTCAGGTAAAATAAGGATGAATCCAAAACCATATATATGTGTGTAGATATATACATATTCACGCCTCTGTATGTATGTGGGTGTGTGCAGCTATCTCCAGGATATAAAGAGAGGTAGGAGAACAATTCTAGCATTCTGATTTCTCCTGCTGAAAGGAATTGAAACTTTGCTATTAAGGTGATTTCCACATAATTTTAACAACGGCAGTGCCAAGAAAATCCCCCAAATAATATAAAGACTGGGTTTTCAATTTCTAGGCCAATGGAAAGTGATTCAAGTTTGAGATGATTATAAAATCATTTCCCAACTATGTTTAATTTTGTGTAAAGTGGAAAAGGGGAAACACACACCCACATTTATGTTTTTCCACGCTTTCAGACAAAGTTTGACCCCCAAGTAAACAGTATAATCTTTTCAGATACACGTTCCAGAAATTATATGTCCCAGTGCATCAGAATGGTCACCTTGGAAAGCAATATAATTCTTCTTGTGATTCTGCAATTGCTGGAAGTTCTTTTGAAAAGCCTATTTCTTCATTCTGTCCGTAGATAATTGCAAGCCAGGAAAAAACAAAAGCATTTTCTTTAATCAAATATGTTTATGGAACACCTACCCTCAACTGGGCATTCGGCTTGGTATCAAGGATATGGTCTCAGACATAGATTAGGTTGAGGAAGGCAGATCTTATTTTATTGACTCAAAGCAACTTTACTACACACGTTCACCTGTCTTACTGGTTAGACTTCATGGTTTCCAGAACTCAGATCCACCCTCAAAGAATCAGGTATGATACCACTAAGGGTATTCAAAATGAATTATAATCTTTAGCAATGAGCAATTCCCAAACAGAAATTGTGTAAGAAGTTTGGACAACAATGGAATAATTGTTTAGCTTCCCCACTTTTGTGGGAGAGGACTCACTTGAATGGCAACATTTAGTATTTTTTTCATCATTCACTTTATATTTTCATAGGTATGTTCAACAGAGTTTGTGTATAATGTATTACATATTTTACACATATATTCTTTGCACATGCATACACACTGTGTTTTCTGCATACACTTTAAATCTCAAAACATTTTCTGTCAGGGCACTCTAGAACTGATGAGGCTCCAAGAGCTGATGAGATGCTCATTAATTTTGTCTGTTGTCATTTTCTCCCGTTTTCCAGAATCCTAGGGAATCGGGTGGCTGAACTGGAGAAAAAATTAAGAACTCTGGAAGTTTCTGGTTTGTGGAGTCTTCCAGGTAAGCAGAACTTCATGAAAGTTATTTTCCTTTTTTAAAAAAGGCAGCCTTTACCTAATTTGCAAAGAAGATTCTAGTTTTTATGTATCCTTTTATTTGAAGATCATTGCTGAAAAAATCTACAAGTGCTTTAAACACAGAAACCATCAATTTTGAGGGAATCAGAGAAACTCATATAAATATTCAAGTTCCCATCTGTGGAACTCTCAAGTTTTGCTAGCCTAAATTCAGAAATTGTCATTGTCTGTGTCTGTGTATACTTTATTTTTCACCTTTATGGATATAGTAAATTGTTTCATTTTTTTTTTACCCCTAGGTATTTTATAAGGATTTGTTCATTTTAATTATCATCCCTAAAAATGAGTAGAAGAATATACAAAGATTTGTTCAATTTACTCCTCAATCCTAAAAATGAATATAAGAACTGACAAAAATTTGTTCTATTTAATTATCATTCCTAAAAAAATGAATGAATCATACCTAAAAATAAATATACTGAGAAAAATTTGTTCTATTTAATTATCATTCCTAAGAATGAATATAAAAATGAGTATAAGAACCTTCTTCTCCTCTCTTCCCCTATCCCATTTTATGCAACTTGAAAATCAAAATTTCCTTTGGAGATTTTTTTTTTTCCCCCGCAATTGTACACGTTGCAAGGAAACTCTGATGTTTCACTTTAATTAGCTATATTTATCCTGTTTGTCTTGGTAAAATAATCCCTCTGTGAGAACCCCATCAGCTATTCCCCTTTTCTTTTTCTCCAGAAACTTGTATTTATCATTTTTCCACCTCCTCCTCTTTCCCTGGAAGCAACATTGTACATATATTTTTAGTTACTTAACCTTTCTGCACAAACCAGCTTTCTCTACCCTTGAATTGTATCAGTTGCTGCCCCGTAATGTTCGAGAAATGAAAATTGCCACAGGGACATGGACAACAACACGTTCCCGTAATGTAATCTGAAGAGGCAACCTTAGGTTGCCTGCAAGTGCATTTCATAAATTGGAAGTTTTAGCAGATTCCTTGAACTTGATGTCAAAAGACCTAACAGAACTAATTAGTGGCAAGTGCCATTCTGGGGATTTGAATGATCCATTTTGCACAAGAACCTTTTGATGCGGTTAAAACCTTATCTTCTTTGAAGGCCTTTCTTTGGCTGCATTGAATTTCAACACAGTCAGGCAAATTTATCGTTTATTTGTGCAGTCAGATTGCTATTTCTGGGCACGGACTGGAGTTTTGATTTTTTTTTTTTCCCTCCAAATGACTTAGTGAAATTTCACGATGTTTTATTTCTACAATTTATGTAAAAAAGATGGAAGTTGAGTAAGTCAAAGGATGCTGAGAATTTTCTGTCTCCAGTGTTATTTGTTCTGGGATGGAATGGCTATTATGCATTAACAATTCTTTCTTTCCTCCTTTTTGCTGCCTGAAGGCCTGAGCTACAATGTTTCAGTAGGATTTGGGAGTATGTTCTATTTCAAATATCTGTGTTTGTGGCTAATAACAGCAGTGCATTAATATCATCATCCCTGCATGTAAATAAATAGAAATGCATTCTCTATGTATCATTGCACTTTTCTGATTAGAACAGTCCATTGAAATGGAGAATTCAATTAGTACCAAGTAAATATTCAATGGTAAAATGAGCTTTGAGGGACCCGGCTAAATGGATTTTATGCCATGGCCATGTTTGTTCTAGTATCTGGCCTCCTTGCAGACACAGAGTGGGAGTACAGGACAAGGGTGGTACAGATCTGGTACAGTTGATGTAAGGGAAAGAGCATTGCTTTGCTGCTATTGTGAAGGATTCTCAAGGAGGCACTGCCTTGTGGTCATTTTTAAACCACGGTGAGAAATACTAAGGGAAGGGCCCCTTGCAGTATCAATCCAGTCAGCCACTTCCACACACTCATTGTTTTGTGGACCCCATTTTACCTACCAAAGAGTGGGGCAAGGGGCAGTGTGTTATCTTCCTCCTCTCTCCCTCCCTCCCCTTCCTCCTCCTCCACCTCCTCCCCATCCTTTCTTCTTCTCCATCTCTTCCTCTTTCTCTTCCACATTTTTCCCTTCCTCTTCCTCTCCCCAGGTAGAAGCCTTGTCAGCGTTTCAGCCACCTGGCAGGGACTGAGTCCCAGTAGTTTCAGAGAGTTGTTAGCTCACTCTTATTTACTAGCATCTGAAAGGTTCAGTATCTTCTTCAATAAATCAGTCCATCAATGTGTTGATACATTTTCGAGCATCGACTTTGTGAATTCATTTCTGTATCAGGCATTCTAGTCACGCCCTCTCAAAGAATCCATAGTCCCTTTAGGGAAGCAAGATGCATACACATCTAGCAGTGAGAAGAAAGTACAGAATGATATATAATTAAGTGCTGAGTGATAAAGGTGTTGGGGTGTAAATGGAGAAGGTGAAGAGTCATCAAACATCAGACCTGCAGGGAGAGTTGAGAGCAAAGAGTTCAAGTATGGTAAATACTTGGTGTATATTATAAAACACCCATTCCAGCGCCAGTGGCAGACATTACTAATCCATCCCATGGCGCTTGCATGCTGCCCTCACATGTGGCCCTCAGAACAGACGTCCACACTGGCTTTCCAGGAAGCCTCCAACTGGTTAGAGTTGACGTGTGAGAGAAAACATTTCCCCCTCCCTGATCTAGTCTAATCCCCTCATTTCAGATGGAAAAAAACAAAGGTTTAGGAAATGGGAGGATACCAAAAGGATGAAGAGGTAGATATTAGAACTCAGGTGTTTTCCCACGTGTGCTGGGGAACCATAGTTCAGAGAAGAGAGGAATTGGGCAGGGTGGGGGAGGGATAGATCAGCTGGGAACTGGAGAAGAAGGATTCAGAAGCCAAAACAGTCTCCTCTGAGACTCCAAAGGGCAGTGGTGAATTCTACCTTACTCTGAGACAGAACTGCTATTGGACTTTGAGCATGCAATGAGTATTCTTTGAGTCTTTTTTTCCCCTCCCTCCTCACTCTCTCAGCCAACGAATATGTAGTTCTCGATGTTGTTCAATAGAATTGGGGAAAATTTGTGATCTTGCTGGGAAGTAGGCAAGTCTGACAAATGCCACAGTCTGCATGGAGAAATCATCTGGAAAGCAGAGCATATTCCAAACTATTTCATCGGTTCCCAAGAGGTGGGAAGGCATGGGAGTCCTTTGAGAAAGGTTGGGTGGGTGGGGGGCAACTGACGTGGTCTCCCGGGAGGAAATGACACCCCCTCCACACATCAGCCTCAGTCCCCAAGCCCTTTGCCAGCCTTTGTAGGGAGAGTGGTGCCTGGGGGCTCCAAGGAGAGGTTTCCTGGATGTGCTTCTGCTCTAAAAAGAAACACTGAAAGCCAGAAAAAAAACAAAAAACAAAAAAACAAAAAACCTGGCAAGTGCAGAACCTGGCTCTTTGAGTTTTTCATTTTAATTCTCTCTTCTCCACTCGAAGCATCAGCCTGAGGAGGAAAATGTGCATTTTGAAAGTACTTGGTACATTTGGGAGAAGGGGAGGAGGGATGCTGTGTCCCAGGGAACCGGGAAAGTTTCCAGACACTCATGTGCCCCACAAGCGAGGGGCCTGCCTGTGTGGCTTTCTGCCTGGCTGCCAGCTGCCGCTTGACTCTTTGTGGGTCACCTCACCCCACGCCGCCACCTCCAGAGCGAGGCACCAGAATGAAACTGCAAGACAGCCGACTATCAGATTAGAGCTCACATTCATCAGCATAGATGGAATCCAGACTTAGAAACAATGGGACAGGCTTCCAAGGAGGCCTTTGAATCTTTCAACAAACACTTTGCAAGAATGACCAAATCTTGCCATTTTATCTTAGGATTCAGGTTAGATATCTCTAGGCAGGAATTTCAGGAAGTGTTCGGCTACTCCCTGACCCCCACCTCGATTGGCCAAGGACAAGTCATGGCTCCGGTTTCCTTCACTAATGCTTGGAGGTTTCGTGTTGCTCCAGCATTTTTACGGAACTATTATGGAACAGACGGTGCTCTGTGGCTGGAGGGGCTAGAGAATTGCTCATGACCAGAGGGGCTGAGGGCCTCCCTCAGGCCACCTTAGTCCCTTGCCTGAGGCCAGCTCCCTGCTCTTCCTGTAATTCTGATTCTTCAGCCACGAGGCCACAAGGGACTTGGAAGGCTGATTGGGACACAGAGGGGCAGAGTGTGCCTCTTCATGCAAGAACAACCAGTCTACCTGCTAGAGAAAGATGGCTCAAAAAATGCAATCTCTCCTGACTTGAGGACAGTAGCTGTTGCCTTGGTCAAGAAAAACAAAGGAAGTCTATGAAGAGGTGTCTGCTCTAGGTTCATGGGAACCATTAGTCCCTCAAAGCATTTCCAAATTGTGTCTTCACAGTACAGAGGAAGACCCAGTTGTGTTTCTTTCTTTCTGAGAGCCTCTTAACAATATCCCAACCTGTAGATGGACAGTTCTCTTTGGGACACTCCTCCAGACTATGACTCTGAAGACTTGGGGGTTTTTTCCCACATGAGACAATAGTCATGCTGGTGGCAAGCTTTCAGATCGGCTCCTTTCAGATGCCTGTTCTTCTGGGATGACCCTCAGCAGAACTCAGAGTGCTGTTGCTGCTAACAACATAGTCCATCTGCCGGAGGCAGCCCCGAGCACCTGTGCCCAACATGACATCAGGAGCCCCAAGAATCCATCACCCATGTATTCAGAACCTTACCAGCTATTTATTAAGCACCTACTCTATGCCAAACTCTCTCCCACAGTCTTGGAAATGAAGCTCCCTAATGGGAAGATGGTATTGTGAACAAACCAAGGGCTCAGAGGTATAGTCCAAGGTTCTCCTGGTTCTCTAAAGGCGGAAACGTCTTTACAGAAATACCATTCTGTGTCCACTGAACCTGAAACCAAGTAAAATTACAGAGCTTTGGGGCCCCTGATCTGAGCCCTAGAGAGATTAGAGGCTTGGCTTTAGAAAAGGTCTTTCTCAAAGTTAGATGGCTAAGGCTAGAGCATAGGCTGGGCCCACAGCCCTGGGGTTTTGATTTTGGGCACTGCAGTTCCCACCGAAGGAATCCCAAAGTCTTGTAGACAGAAGTCTGGGGTCAAATCCTGCTTGTTGTGCTCTCCTGACCACTGGAAAGACTCCCTTTATGTCCACATGTTTTGTGTCCATGTGTCTGTGTTCACGATGCTCACGTTTCAGAGCTACACTTCCTGCTCCAGATTTCTGGAACTTTCCATGGCCTCCACAATAGAGCTATAATGTTCTTCTTTCTCTCAGCCTCTCCATCCACTGGGGGAGTTCATACAAATAGATACAAGGGTTTGGTTGGTATGGGACTATATGTTCTAAGTGCAAGTTTAGCTGTGACAATTTGGGGGACCTGGTACTACCCACATTATGACTCAGTCCAAATGACCACATTGAATTAAATCAAAGGTAGCATATATGGCAGTGCCTTCTACACCATAAGATAATACTTTCAGTATAGGACATTGAGCACTAGTGAAATGCTTAAGGGCTTTACATGAATCATTTCATTTCACCACCACCTCACAGTGAGGTGGGTGCTGTCCTTCTTCCTCATCTTACCGATGAGGGCTCTGAGGCTGAGTGACTTGCCTGAGGTCAGCCAGCTAACAAGGGATGGAGTCCAGGACACAGACCCCATAGTGTGGCTCCAAAGCCCACACTCCTCAGCCCTCTCCTGTGGTTATGACTGTTATAGTCTCACCCAGATCAAAGCCATTTGGTTTTTGCCCAGGACACCAGGCTGCTCCTTCATGGTGGCATTTGTGGGTGCCTATGTCCTGAACAGACTCATAGACTGGCCCTGGACCTCACTGCCTGGTCCTCACACTATAGAAGGGACCAGCTGGCCATTGCCCTTCCACAGTGTTACCTGTGATTAAAGAAAGTGCCTTTTTCACCCAACAGCCAGTCCATTGTGTGGGGTGAACATAACCACAACTCCTCTAGTGACATAATATGTCTGTTTTCCCCTTTTCCATGACAGGGGGCAAGGACACCATACTGTTCAGTGACCCTGCTCTCCCCACCATACAGAGATCGAGATCCCCACTGCTGAAGTTCATCGAGCAGCCCACTGAGAACAAAGCAAATTCCGAGGACGGTAAGCACACCTTGATTTCTCTGTCTATCTCTGCCTGACCTGTGCCTGGCACAGAGCCGGGGCTCAGTGGATATTAGTTCTTCCCCTCCCAGTAGCTTCTGGGACACTGTGGGGTCATCCCTTGCATTTCGTCTTGTTGCTTATATGGGTTTGTGTGTTTGGAGCTTCCAGCTGAAGAACGCAGGCCTCTGTACTCATCACAGTGACACAGAGGTTAAGAGAAAGGGCTCAGGATTTGAGAAGCTCAGGCTCATAGTCCACCCCCATATTGTGTTCGCTCTGAGAATTTGGACTAGTAACTTCTGCCTTTCCCATTACCTATAAACTGGCGAGATGATGGTGCTAACCTCGGGGAGATCTCAGCACACTGCTGGGCACAGGGGAAGTGGTCTGGGAGTCAGCTGAAAAGAGAATAAAAGCTTCTCTGCCAGCACACTTTCTGGAGACAGAGTGTTTTGAAGGAGTTCAGAGGCCCGTTTAGGGTGCCAGAGGAGCCCACAAGTGTGAGAGGCAGCTGTCTTCCCATGCAACAGTCCTGTTTCCCCAGCTAAACTATCCCTCCCATCTTTCTAAGTTTTGTTTGTCTTCTTTTTCTACCCTCAATGTGATTGCCAGCTTCCAATATGACCCCAAATGATCCCCACTTCCTGGTATTCCTACCCTTATAGATTCCTCTCCACATCATATCAGGGTTCATCTATATGACTAACAGAATACAGCACAGGTAATAGTATATGGCTTCCTAGGATAGGTCAGAAAAGACACATGGGGTCTTTCTTGCTCTCTCTGTCTTGGGTCATTCTCTCTGGAGGAAGCTGGCCAGCCTCCACGTCTTGAGGATACCCAAGAGGTCCCACATGTTGTTCATGCAGTCTGGAACTGAGGCCGTCTAGCCACCAGCCATTTGGGTGCACCATCTTGGAAGCAGATTCTCCAGCCCCAGTCAAGCCTACAGATGACAGCAGCCCTGGTTAACATTTGATGACAGTTCCATGAGTGACCACTAGTGAGAACCGCCCAGATAAAGTGCTCCCAGGCTCCTGAGTCTCCAGCTGCTAAGTTTTGGGACAATTTGTGGCACAGCAGTACATAACTAATATACCCAGCATGCAGGTGCCAAGGTTCTTCCCTTGGTTTCCATATTTTCTCTCCATCTTCTCTTGCTCTGAGTCACACCTGCAACCATCACCTCTATGAAAATATTCTTGAAATATTTTCCCCCCACTGGGTACCATCTGCAGAGCTACAGTCCCTGCCTTTCCAAAGTGCAAACTTTACCACCTAAACATTCTGTGGACTTCTCAAGTATGACATCGCCAACTCTACATGCCTCCTCCCTTTTTGGTCACTCTCTCAGCTACCCCAGCTACATCTGGACTCAACCTTGATCACTGTCAGCTTTCCTTCCCCATCCATATCTTGGCTGTAGCCACTCTTTCTTCAGAGTTTCTCACACCTCCAATCCTACCACCTCTGGCTTTGGTTCAGCCCTCTTTACTTCCTCAGCATGGCTTCTGTCCCAGTTTCCCTGTCTTCTAGACTCCCCCTATTTCATTCCAATCTTCCCCTTGCTGCTGTAGGATAAAGCTTCTGGAGCACTGCTGTCCAACACGTGTGTACCCTAAGCAGAAATTTCTAATGGCTCCCAACTGTTTTCCACTTAAAATCACAACACTGCTACCCTATCTTTCTAACCTGATGATTATCTGACCTAACAACTGTGCTTGTATCAGACTGTACTAACTAGTTGAATCAGTTGCTACCATCGTGTAACAAACCACCCCAAAACTTAGAACTGAAACAACTACTATGTATTATTTATAATGAGTCTTGGGATCCAATGAGCAGTTCTGTGGATCTGAGGTGGGCTCAGCAAGGCTTGCTTGTGCATCTGTACAGCTGTGCTTTGAAATTTGTTTCAATCCTTCACACTAGTACATAGAACGGTAAGAATAGGACAGGTCTGGGATTTCCACAGAGAGGCTCCCCACGCATATGCAGGGAGAATTCTTAAGAGAGAGCACTTGACTCAGGTGGGTTTCACACTGGCCAGAAGGCAAGGCTGGGTCTTTCCAGCCAGCAGCATGGGGCTCTTTGCAAACCGGGCCTGTGACATGCTGTGCCCTCCCCCAAGCAGTCTGGAACATGCATTGGTCATCCCATGCCAGCATCCAGTGTCTACATGGAGACCTGAAGCCCTCTGTCTTCTCTGGGCTTATTTAGCTCCTGGGTGGACCCGGGGCCCCCTAAGCTAAAATGGAACATAAGCTGGGCTTGATTTTCACAAGGGTAGCATAAGTAATGGCCTGATTCAAAATGATAGCTTCCAGAGTTCCATCATTAGCTCTCATTGTTCCAACCCCATCCTTCGCCAGTGTGGGTGGGAACAAGGAAGCATTTGTGGAGCGGCTGGCAGCGGCTGGGATGGTCTCATCACCGGCGGGTCTCTGATTAATTCCGACTGAAAGAAGCTCACACTTGGGAGGACAAAGCCCATCAGAGATCAGTTAACAAAAGAAGACGAATGTCCCCTTTGGGCCAAAGTGGGAGGGTGACACATTTTTAGGAGACTAACAGTCTTTCTACAAAAAGCTACTTTTTCTTCATCTTTTCGAGAAAATATTTCTGCTTTCTGTACTATTTGTGTCATAATGCGTTTGTATCGGCTGATTGCCTCATCATTATTGATATGTGTTTTGTTATTATTACATATTAATGATACTAATTCTGTTTGTAAAACAGCACAGAATAATCACTATTATCTTCTAATAATATTTTCCCATGCTGAGCTCAAAATCCTTCATTTATGGGAAAGGCAGTGCCCTGTGTCTGCTCCCAAAGGAGAACGCACACTCTCGCGGCTCAAGAGTTAACATTCCAGAATCACAGAGTTAAAGGAAGAGTTTTCCCCCAGCAAGTAGCAGAGGCCCTAGCAGATCAACAGTCTTGACATTTTCAGCCACTTGTCTTTGTCTCTTGACAATGACTTGAGTATACTTTTTAGATATCTTTTGGATAACCAAAGGGGAGGAGAGGATTGGTAAATCTTGCGGTTGACCCACAATCTAATCCCAGATGGAATCCGGCCCCTGTATCTTCATGTTTCCCAGGCTCCGAAAATCCGGACTTTCTCAGAAAAAAATAAATGCCAGATAGGGCCAAACAATAGAACTACAGCCTTGCCCATCCCCCACTTGCTGCTGTGTTTTGACCTCTAAGGATAGCAGCAGTGTTGCTCCCTCCCGCTCCCCCCAAAAAAGGTTGCAAAGTTCTCCCTGGTAATCTCAAAGGTTTGCCATTTTAAAAAAGATTCATGTGTTTGGACACGAGCAGAATGTCATCTAAAGAAATGGCACAAGGCAAAGTACCAGCGACCAAAAGGCCCCAGTGTAATTTAGACCACCCTCACTTAGATGTAAATTAAGGTAGAGAAGATTAACCTGACCCACGGTAAAAACACCGCAAATGGTTTAGGGGTTAGGTTGTTACAGGTAAGGTTAATTAATTTTTCAGGGGCACCAGAATATACTATTAAGTGTCCTGGAAGAAGTAATTTCATAAGAGTAATTTCCAGAAGGAGTTTATTCATCTCACGTTGGTGAAAAATTTAACTGCAGAAAGGACCATAATTTACTCCTTTCGAATAAAGCTTCTTGCCCTGTGCTGGAAACTGGCTCATTTTGACTCAGTGTTTCCCATATCCCCTCTACAATTACCATAAAAATTTTCTTTTGTTGGTATGAAACTGATGTTATTGCTTCCCTGAGCTACCTCAGATGTAGCTGTTTGTGTGAGTTAGAAATCTTTTTTTTCCCAGAAGTGCCCTTTTAAGAACTTTTAGGGTAGCCACCTGAGGACAGCCTAGAACGAATTCAAGGATTGCTTTCATTTTTTGATGCATGGGATTTACATGTATGTACTCAATAGACTCATTTGTTCATGTATTCATATATATGTCCATAGATCCAAGCACTTAATAAGCTATTTATTGACTCCCCATTATAGAACATTGGCAAAGTTTATCAGCTAAGATTTCATTCTTCAGGTGACTTTTATAAGCTAATTATACATAAGTAACAAGGGTAAAAAAGTTCAAAGAAAGGACTAAGTTCCCTTGGGAGTCTAGACACAGCTCTGTGGAGATTAGGGCACTGTGGAGATTACTTTTTGTCCAGATTTCATGGAACAGGCTTTGTAGTGGAGATGGAGGTCAAGCTGACTATTGACGTTGACCGTCTGGATATGGACAGGAACCATAGCCATGGCAGCATCGTCAACCTCATAAGCAAAGGCTCAGAGGACAGGGCTGGGATGCCATAAGGGTTAGGTGTAGGGATACGAGGACAAGGGTTGGGATGTCAGGTGGACAGGCAGATGGAGGTTGAGTCGTTGAAGGCCTTGAATGTCAGGCCAAGCACTCGGCTTATATCCCAAGACCATAGCAGCCTTTGAAGTGTTTATAGCTGGGGAAAGGCACAGTCAGATTTGTGTTAAAGCTCACAGTGCTTCTTACGACTCAGGTGCGCCCAGATCACCTTTTAACAAGTTAAAAGGCAGGCTCTGAACCAGTAGGTGAGGGGCAGGGCCTGAGATCCAACACGTCTAACAGTCTCCCAGCTAATGGTGCCACCAATCTCCACAGATCCCACCCTGAGTAGCAAAACTTGAGGCAAGGTTCCTCTCCAGGCCATCTGATTAGAGACCAGAAGCAAAGAAACCTATTAGGTGTGAACGTACATTATCCTGTCCAGACCGATCCCAATAGTTGTTTTCTCAAAAATCCAGGCTGACTTCATCCACTTGTTTATATATTCATGAATTTCATTGCAAGCACAAGTCATGGCCTCATTTTCAGGTACAGTACTTTCCGTGGTCAGTGAGTTCTTAGGATGGTAATACATAGCCATCCGTATCGACATACAGGTTTTCAAAAGTATGAGGTAGATTTGGTCAAACTTCAGTCCCTGGGACTTTGTCTGTGGACCTCAGAAAGGCAAAAG